GATCGGTGAACACGTTCTCGAGGTTACGCTCTCAACAATAGAAGGATGTCTGTTGCTGGGTAACGGGTTGCTACACACCTTCCTGAAGCAGCGAATAAGCACACAATAACAGAAACTATTGGAGGTGATGCCATATATCCGGTCCTCCGCGAAGGCACGTAAGAACGCATTCATTCGCAAATGAGCCGTCATTCGTCGATCGTAAGAGAGTTTAGAGTTTAGTAATTGAATGAGTTCAGTGTTCAGCTGTGGGTTGTTAACCGGCGGACAACGGAAGCTGCGATTCGTAAATCAGAACCAAGTCAGTGACAGTAGCAGAGAAGACACTCGTAGTTCAGTAAGGAAAGGAGCGAGTCATATGTAGCCACTGGTTTAGCTGTTGTCATTGATTGTAATTGTAATAGAAGTGCCAATAAATCCAGTCATCCAATCCAGAACCCGTTGTTATTCGGCACACAAACCCCGCATGCGTGATAATGTATTAAATGGAGTACACTCGGAGACATATAAGAACTAAAATAAAGTTAAGAGACTGCGCTGTGTTCGAAATTAGCCTAATGATATGTCGACGAAATATTGCATTAAGAATACGAGATGGAAGCATAATTCAAAATTCGCAACCTGTAGTAATTATTATGTGCTACATTTTGAGCATAGCTCTGTATGGGGCTGAAACATGGACACTTAGGGCAGTAGATCAGAAACACCTGGAAAGTTTCGAAATGTGGTGTTGGAGAAGGATGGAGAAGATCAGTTGGACCGATTATGTGAGAAATGAAGAAGTGTTATTTAGAGTCAGTGAGCAGAGGAATATCCTACACGAAATAAGAAAACGGAAGGCTAATTGGATTGGTCATATCTTACGCAGTAACTGCCTTCTAAAAGAAGTTATTGAAGGAAAGATAGAGGGGCGGATAGAAATGACCAGAAGACGAGGAAGAAGACGTAAGAAGATGCTGGATGACCTTGGGGACAGAAGAGGATACTGTCATTTGAAGGAGAAAGCTCTAGATCGCATTAAGTGGAGGAATTGTTTTGGAAGAGACTGTGGACCTGTCGTCTGACAGATTACTGATGATGATGATGATGATCATGATCATTTTACTCGCCGGTCATGATAGCGGAGCCGTCTAAGGCATGTACTGTCTTCGCTCGCTCGGAAACCTGGATCTTGGATTCGAATGCCACACAAGGCATGGATGTTTCGTGTTTAATCTGTTTGTGTTGTCCTGTGTTAAGGTAGAGGCCTTACGACGAGTTAATCACCCGTCCAAGGAGTCTACCATAAGTAAATAAATGGTCAATTAAACTTAGAAATCAGCCCTATGCTCCAAAGTGGGAGCGGGAGGAAAAAAATAATTTAACTCTGTATATCAGATACATAAACTGTCGTAAAGTAAACTTGAGGCATTGTGGTAGACATGCCAGGGTATCACAAGAATGAGGAGGCAGATAGTTGAATCGAGTTTGCTCAGAAAGTAATGGAGTATATCCGTGCATGAAATATAGACGGCAGCACCCGACAATTGAGGAATTATATGTTTCACAAGCAAACTCTTTATCTAAATGTACGGCCATGAATCTGCCATTATGGAACCGAATTACACGTAAATGTAAACGTATTAAATTACACCGGGAATGCTATCAGGGAAACATAATTACCGGTAACGCGCTTACGTTTGGAAATGTGATCACGACATGCGCCATTACGCCAGTTGCGCGAGCGCAGGTTTCACACCTCGTACGGACGTCATGAAGCAGCGTCAGCCACGTGTGAACAGAGGGCGAACTTGATGATAATGATACCAGTTGTGTTGGTTTTCGGTTAAGTGCAGGAAGGAACACCGGCGGGTGATAGTGATTGCCATGCATTTATTTGTGACAGTTCATTTAACGCCATACTTAGGACGTGTCGGAACAGGAGTATGAAGGTGGTCTAGCGGTTTATTTCTTTGCTGCAGATCCAGAGGTCCCGGGTTCGATTCTCGGCGCTGCCACATTTTCTGAGAAGTAGTGGGTCTGGAACGGGGTCCATTGAGCTTCGTGAAGATGATTGAGGAGTAGCGGCTCCGGTCTTCCCCCCCCCCTTGGCACTACAGCCACAGTGGGCCTAGGCCTACCTCCATGAACTTCTCAGTTCACTTCGGCTTCTCTAGATCTTACACATACGGTAGGACTCCTTGGGCGAGTGATCAGCTCGTCGCAAGGCCTCTACCTGTAGACAGACACAGAAAAACGCACACAAACATCCGTGCCCAGAGTGGGATTTGAACCCACGATCTCGGCTTCCGAGCGAGCGAAGATAGTGCATGCCCGCGGCTCCGGTCTAGAAAACCGAAATTAACGGCTTGGGGATTCGTTGCGCCGACACGCGACATCCTCTGTCCGCTAAAATTGGCACTCTACCGACAAGCGGCCGTCGCTCGGTCGGTATAGTTCGCTTGCGGACTAAAGCCACGCAGATTGTTTTTGTTTGTAGGTTAGCCCAGATTCGTTCTTCTACTTACCATACAGGCCGTGATGTTTGTTTATTGCTGACTCTTGATACATGGGAAAGTACATTTCTTAATGTTACTGAATATGCAGTGGGACAAAACTTCTCTAGGATGTCTTCTTGATATAACATCAGTTTCTTCACCTCAACACTTATTCCTGCTTACCTAATGGTTGCTGTAACCTATCATTCACAGCACTTCACATTTAAATCCCGAATGAATATTAGATGAGACCTTGTTATTGAGTCACAGCTTCTGTTAGAATATTTCAAATGATACTTGAGCGGTCAATACCAATTACTGTTCAGGTCCTTCAAATAATTTATCTATCACATCGCAGTCGGCATCAGGTTTTCATACCATTAATCTGAATATTCCCCGAGGACGGAAAGAAAGAGCTAATAGTCTGTTGTCTTGCACTCTCTATTCCAGAGAAATTCACAGTAGAACGTAATTTTTACATGAAGCTCTTTAAGTATTCATCACATTGAGAACCGTCTAAAGTAGGAAGTTGTTGAGATGGATACAGTAAACCCTCCACATTCGCCAGGTTTATGCTGCTCTGCTCTCACGGAAATGTAGAATTCTCGGAGGCCGAGACATGATTCAGAGAAAAAGTAGAAGTACATTTACGACACGACAGAATATAAGAATGTAAATATATGTGAACATAATTAAAATCAGGAGATAATTATATATAAAAAAGGCCGTGAAGACCAAGAGGGTGCTGAGACGTCGAGGCTCCCACATCTTATAGATAGTCGGCTCTTAGACAGCGGTAAGGTTGTCAGCCTTACGCGCCAACCGCCCTTTATCCCCCAGGAAGTTTTCTGGTACTCATTTCCGTTAGAGGGTGAGTCGACCCCAGGTCCATAGTGCGGCTGCAAGGATTAGGTCAATTGAAAAATCCAGTGACCTAATCGGTTTAACACTTTAAAGCACAGTGGTGATGTGTTCCACTTTCTAGAACATTATAAATTTCTATTCTCTGCCCACGGGGCCACGTGATAGTGTAGTTGGCTGAGGCACTATGCTACAAGCCGGAATGTTGCGGGTTCGAGTTTACCTAAGCCTTCCAGCCGCACTATGTACTTGGGGTGGACTCAGCATCTAACAGAAATGAGTACCAGGAATCTTCCTGGGGTTAAAGGGTGGCCGGCGCATAAGACTGAAAAACTTACCTCCATCTATGAGACGATTGTCCAGAGAAAATGGGAGCCTCGACGTGTCACAACCCTGTGGGCCTTCACGGTCTTCACGGCCTGTAACAGGGATACCAGTCTTGACCCACAGACTAAACTTCATAGTATTCTCACAATAAACACCACCAACCTTGAGGAAGCATCGGGATTTATGCAAGATGGGGACTTCCCTTTTAAGTACCATAGACCCGAGCCTTCAGAACGTTTAACTGCCTGTTCCTGAACCCTGTAGGCGTTGTTCATCTCTCCTGAAACTTTATAAAATTCTGAATTGCTAATAATGTGAGTGTCTCCGTAAATGGAATTGAATTTTTTACCGGCCATACTTCGCCCGCGTCCGGGGGGGGGGGGGCAGCGTCTACACGATGTGCTTGTTTCTGTGTGCATCTGCTGAAGGCTAATCGCGCACTGAGTGTTTGCATCAGAATAATTGTGAAGGCATTGTCTTTCACAGGAACCATTAAGAAATGAAAGGCCTGAGGCCAGGGATGCGGATGAACTAACAAAACGTTTTCATTGCGAAGTTTGCGAAGTTCACGTTACGCACAGTGTGACCCGAAAGTCAGTTAACCTAAAACATACTCTCGTACTAACGGGTGTTCAGATTTAAATCTGCCACTCTATATGTAGAACGGTATCACAGCGCTGTGAGTTATGAGCTGAACACGGAGGATCTCATTTCGAACAATTTTTGTTAATGCAGTAAGTAATGAAAAGAATTGTAACGTATTTTAGTGTACATTTTACCTACCAGTTAAGTTTTTTGGGGGGCAAATCTGTATAAATAGACCTCCCTTTCTGTACCCTCATACAGAATATATGTTTGCATTTTTAATGTTTGTGTTTTCACCCGCGCCCATTCTTCAGACATGGATCCTAAACAGATAGGCAGAGTGTGGAGTGGATTCATTTGGCTGAGGATAGGAACCAGTTTCAGACTGGATTTTTGAGACTGCATAATTTCTTGAGCAGTTGAGCGAGGATCAGTCGTAAGGAAGGTCTCTGCGGTAAGGCTGTTTAGAGTCGTATGTGGGAACATTTTGAAGGACGCGTTTGAATGGCCATGGTGTGCCTTAAAATGGTACCGTAGGAATATTTGGAGATACTGAAAACGAGCATAAGAAAGTCAGGCCGTCCGGTATCCATACCGAGATTGGAACCAGGGTATCCTGAAGACAGAGCAGGCATCTTCCCTGCTTTGTAGGTAGGTTCGGTTTGCGTTGCGTTGTTTGTACGTGTGTAGTATCACATGAAACGTCTTCCCATTCGGCTTATAAGGTAACACCGTGTTGTCTGTTCACAGGGACTGAAAATACCAGGAGTACCTTCATCGGGATAGTTGACGTCAAGCAACCGGTCCCGGCTCCTCAAGGCTGTGTTTGCGCGCGGTATGTTTGTATCTACATTAAAATCTTGTTATTCTCTCATAACTGTTCATATCCTTTTGTAACGTGATTTCATTATTTTCAGTATTCAGATATAAAAGTTTGGTACTCGTTCTTTGAAATGTACTAACTCATAGAGTCTGTCGTCCATTGCTGGAGCAGCCGGATATAAAACCTTTGAACTGTAGACCTGTATTCTGATAAGGTTCATTTTGCGATATACCATCTGTTAAAATGATATGTAAGTTATCATCTAAATGTATCTTAGTTTAGTTCCTTATGTTGAATGTGTGTTCTTAAGGCCCCGACATATTTCGGCCATAAAAACCATTTTAAGGAGTGTACCATGTTAAAGGAAAGTTTAAAATTCATGTATTTATCGATTTAAAACATGTGAGTCATGAAGCTCTTATACAAAGTTAAGTAAGGCAATAAACTAGATTACTTACATGGAAGCATACATCTTGCTTTAATGTAGGTCTGTGTATTCGTCCACTTTGCATAATATTTTAGGACAACGCCCACACGCTCAAATCGACAGTGCCCACAAACTCGCTTGGAGCTGACAACTGGCAACCATCCTAATGTACATCGACTGTTAGAAATTAAGAGAAAGGATAGAAAGATATAGCCTGACTTGATAAAAAAAAAAGAGCACGCTGTAGCGTAGTTGGTTGAGGCACTATACTACAACCCGGAAGGTCGCGAATTCGAGTCCTGATGTGGTGGATTTTTTCAATTTACCTAATCCTTCCAGCCGCACTATGGCCCTGGGGTCGACTTAGCCTCTAACAGAAATGAGTACCAGGAATCTTCCCTAGTATAAAGGACTGTTGGCAGGCGCGTAATGTTGACAACCTTACCGCCATCTGTGAGCTGATTATCTAGAAAATGTGGAAGCCTCAACGTCTCGCAATCCTATGGGTTTCCATGGCCTGTTACAGGGACAGCTTTACCTTTTGACCTTTATCACACACACGCACGCACCTTCGAGATGCGTCCTTTGCCGTTTTACATCCCTCATTATCCATGAAATTTATATACGGTGTATTCAAATCTTACAGCAGGGAAAGTAAAATGTATTTATCCTTCATGTAAGTGAACGTGCCGCCGTTTCACTGAACAAACTCTTATATAGCATGTTCTGTGAAGCAGACTGAACATTAACACTGTACTTTCATATACCTCTTGACTGAATAGTTTATGCCCACTGAATCCATTAAGAATGCCGTCATCTGGGAAGTGGCGCCGCGTAGATAATTTGTTAACCGACGTTTCGGAACGTCGGTTAAAATATTTACAAGGGCGTCACAGCCCAGAAGACGGCATTCTTCATAGTCACCGCCTGAAAACCCCCAAATCCTAACAGAATCCATTAACTTCGTTGTTTTCAGTAAAAATTACAAGTCACTTAAAACCAGTAACTGTTTAAATACGCAAAAATATATTTCAGCAGTATAACAGGTGAATGTATTTTTTATTGCTACTGGGGTGGGGCTTGTACTGCGGCCACTTCTGGCCTATTGTACCAGCCCCAGATGATAGGTGAGGGTGATTGCGGAGCAATTGGTGGAATGAAGATTGGCAGAGGAAACCGAAGTACTCGGAGAAAACCTGCCCCAGCGCCACTTTGTCCACCACAAATCCCACTTGACCAGACCGGGATCGAACCCGGGCTGCCGCCGTGGGAAGCCAGCGACTAACCGCTTGAGCTATGGCGCGGCCCTACAGGTGAATGTTAATAAAGCATCAACACATAAATGTATATTGATGGGTAGCTATTCATGCTATTTCAAGTCAGAAATTGTTTATATTTAAATGTCCGTAGGAAAATGTTACGAGTAGATTCCGTATAAATGCATGCAAAAGTACAGAATTCGATCAGATGCGTCAGGGATAGCTCAGTCGGTATAGTGACGGTGTACGGGCTGGACGGTTAGGGTTCGTTTCCCAGCAGGGGCAGAGCTTTTCTCTGCTCCACAGCATCCAGATCGGCTCTGGGGCCCGCCCAGCCTCCTATCAACTGGATACCCGGAACTCTTTTTCTCGGGGCTAAAGCGGAAGGGGCATGAAGCTGAACACTCAGCTTTATCTACTGCCGAGTTCAAGAAGGTTGGAGCTAAACCTCTACTTCTTCATATGTCTTCATGGCATAGTGTTTAATTAAACTCAGGGACAACTGTAGCTTTACCATTATGACTTGTTGTAAATCAATTAAAATGTAATCTCATCGTTACGTGTTTCAGCGATTTTATTTCGCGATCATCAGATCTTTGTATTTAAAAACCTAAAGGAAACTGCTCAAGTGTTCTGCTCCAGGGTTATCAGATGCACGTGGGGACCAGTAGACGTACTAAGGCACATAATTGAGAATCACTTCCAGAATACCGCCAGTGCTTATGAAATAAATGCCACGAACTAAAATATGAATGCAGAATGTTCCTGAGAAACGTTGGTAACTACAGTGCGTTCAATTAAGGAAGGAACTTTCGCAACACCGCTGACCGGCCCAGCATTCCTCAGAGATTGCTGCTGTAACTGCTGATAGCAGAATGAGTCATTAGCGCTGATAAATGCGCGCCGTTACAGTTACAGCTACAGCAGCAATCTGTGACGAATATTGGGCCTGGTCAGCGGTGTTGCGAAGTTTCCTCCTTGATTGAACGCTCTGTATTTACCGGGCGGGCTAGGTGGTGTCACGACGCAGAAGACCACAACATAAAACTTTAACACTATTCTTGTGTTTACTACGCACTGTTTACACGCATTCTAAACGGGTGTTCTGGAACTCACGATCGAACCAGACGCGCAGTCGTAAGAAGCCGAAACTCGGTAGCCCTATGACCTATATGTATAAGCTGAGTTTTATGTCGTACTGTAAGGCCTCAAGTTTTTGTTGCATAAATAATGTCGCTTGGGAGATCAGGCGACTGAAGCAAGCTTAGCGCGGATGTCTGTGCACTTTACAGTGACTAGGGTTCAGAGGCTTGTAGCTTTTTAAAACTGAATTACCTAAGAGAATTTTACGACGATCGTCAAATCTTTGGATGAATAAAATAGTTTCAAATAATAGGCATATTCTGTTCTATAGACTACACGGTTATAAGGTCGTTCAAACACGAGGTAGGCAGGTTAGCTGGTTCGAATCTCGTTTGGTGCATTGTTTGCCTGCTTTTTGCTTGATTGAGTTGTGGTGGAATGATTGTAATTCGAGTAATCGTGCTGAATAAAAATTAGTTGTGACAGTTTAACAGAATATAGCGGAGTCATGACAAGTCAGTTAGTAAATGACCTCGGAGTGGATAACCGGGGTTGCATAGCAACGGTCGCGACACCGACCACATAGAAAACGCCTTGCTTCTCTTGTTGCCTTGCGTGTATTCGGTCGCGAGATGTTACCTAGCAACGCTCTGGACATCCGCGTTACAATACTGTCACATCCGGGAGACTGCAAACCCAGTCGTGATTTCTGTATAATGAAGCCACAGAAATAGCGATCGTTTTCACTATTCATTGCCTTACGAAGTGTTTAGAAATAACCAACAAATTGTTTATATTTTAAAGTGTAAAACTCGTATAGGCTTGATGATAGAGGCCTCGTGTTTCAGATTCACGGACCAGCCGAACAGCATTGGGTGATCAGATGACCGCTACCCAATCCGCCTCACATTGTAAAGTCTGTAAATGCAGTTATCACCGCCACGTCTAAATAGACAGTAAATGGAAATGACAGGGCCTGTAAAATCTGAGGCCAGATTTTTATGTGTTGAAAGGAAGTTTTCGTATATGCTGCTAGGATATTGAACATGTTTTCTCCTTCTGCATGCGTACGTACTAACGAAGCTTACCGGGTAAATGTTAAAAAGTTCCCCAGTCATAATGGAGAAGTAATAAGTATATTTTACTTGCATGTACTCATATGGGGACTAAGCTATCATTGTGTTACTGTAGCCACAGTGTCGTCATGAAGCTTACGTGCCTGCAAGGAAGATAGGAGATTCTCTGGCAACAAATTTGTAATGTTGGGTATGAAGTTCCCGCAGCGGTGAAGAATGCATTATTCTTGGTTACAATGCCGTATAGTTCGATAAAAGTCAACTGACGTTTCGGAGGAAGGTATCGCCTCCATTTTCAGAGGTCTTTTTCTACTTATTCGACCCTGAACACGGAGGTGATGTTTTCTTCCAAAACTTCGGGCCTTCTCCCAACTTCATGACGTTACAACCCAGAACATTGTACTTTTCAAATTGTGAGGTGTCTCTTCAACACTACCATTTCTTCTGGGGCTTCAACTCTGGCGAAAAACCATCAGTTGTAAGTAAAGTACGAGGCAGACTGCTGTGTATCACGTTATAGAGCGAGATGATATATCGCATCTTACAATTCAAGCTTTCAAAGTGTAGTCACAAGAAGTAGACAAAATATAAGCACATTAACATTATTTCTATTAATATTGACGCATGCCGCCTTTGTGGTCTAGTGGTCAGAGTTCTGCCTACAGATTCAGAGATGCCGGGTTTGATTCCCGGCGCTACCACATTTTCTGAGAAGTAGTAGGTCTGGAACGGGGTCCACTCAGCCTCGTGATGATAATTGAGGAGCTACTTGAATGGGGAAGCAGCGGCTCCGGTCTAGAAAACCGAAATTAACGGCCGTGGGGATCCGTTGCGCTGACCACGTAACACCCTCTATCCGCAAAAGGTGGCGCTAACTTCGCCGACAAGCGGGCGGTCTTTCTGTCAGTATAGTTCGCTTGCGGACTACATGCCACGGAACATTTTTTGTTTTTCTTGTATTGACGCATGAACAAATGCACAACTATGAGAATTCAGGTTCCCACGGCGGTGGTTTTGAAGAAGACTGTCATATAACACCGTGTAGTCGGCTGAAAGTCAACCGACGTTTCAGAGGAACATGTTGCCTTCATCTTCAGATAAGCAAGCAGCCAGCAACGAGCTCCTACTGGAAGCGACATGTTCCCAGAAGATAAAACTCATCAAATT